TCCTCTTCAACTTTTCAATTTTCAATTATGGAAAGACTATGATCTCTTGCTTCACGGGAAGGGGGGGGGGGGCAGGACATCGGGTTAATGGGCTTTGGCCAGGGTTTTTTTTCGTACTCTCCTTAGTTTGTTTGGGGTTACATTCTCAATCAGGTGCTGCGGCGGACACCCCGCCGCCGAAGTCCTCCTCTAAGAAGGCCAAGAAAACGAAGGTTGGGGACAAGAAGGAGAAGAAGGATGATAAGAAAAAGAAGAAACGCGGATCCTCTCATGCACTAACATTTCATGTTACCTGTTCCATTCCTCAATAATCTTCGACCAGGCACTTCCTCCTCATCCGATGGCGAAGACTCCCACAATGATTCGGAGGAAGAATCCTGGGATGAGATCTTGGGTGAGGCCCAAGCTTTGCTGGGGTTGAGGGCGAAGGACCTTAATCGTTCGGGGAGCATGGCCAAGTTGGAGGACCTCACTGCTAGACAGTTGGCCTACTGCATGTGTGGGTCGTGTGCTGTCTTCACGGCTGCGGATCTCTATGACTTGGGAGGTGAGATGGAGTCCTGGATAGAATATGATGGTCATCTGTCAAAATCCCGTATGTGCAATTCTACTCGTAGTCCATACAAGACATAGAAACCTACAACCTGAGGAGAGCATCCTTGCAGATCGCGCTATGCAGTCCAAGAAGAGCAGGCAGAAGGCGGAAATGAATGATGCCGCCACGAAGGCCATCTTGTATTTAGTTGATCTTACGCACTTTCTACATGTATGAGCCGTCTTGCTGATGATCAGGCTGGCATGGCAGCTGCTATATGGAGGAAGCGTATGACTTCTTTGCTCCAGCTTTGTGCCCCGGGGGATGATTCTTGTCTTGTTGCAGCTCTAACATGGAGACATGTCATTCTGCATGGGGCTCACACGCATGTCACTCCTGTTTGACACCGGGCTCCAGCTAGGGTTTGGACTATGACGCGTGTTCGAGTGGGCTACAGTCTTTAAGCAATACGCACGGATCGAATCAGATGATACTATGACGTGGGACCACATGGACTCTAACTTGCTTGGAAGTCTAGAATAGAAAGCTATCTGCATCGGCCATGGGTGCGAATAAGATGTGCCAGGACCAGTGCGTTCGAGTCTGGATATGGGAGGCCAGGAGCAAGCTACACTCTGTATGCCTGCGTCAACCGAAGGGTTCGACTTTCGAGAATTATCTAGATATCGAACTGGAGTGCCTCCGTGAGACTATGATCCAATCGTGGTCGGGTGGCTGGATGGACGACCCCGAGGACCTGAACTCATTCAGGGACTGCATGGATGCACTGACGACTCTGCGATTCAGTGACCCTTTCGAGACTCGCTGGATTGAGACGGCGCTGCCCCCATGGTCCGAGAAGAAGGTCATGGTGTCCATGTGGACTAAACGCAATGTACACACGATCTCGGTCCTTGACTTTCTTGATACGGTGACTACGCACATCCCCGGAAAGTCTTTAGACTGGTTGAGGGTCCGGCAATGGGTTCTCGAGTGTTGGGAGGAGCTTTGCACGGGAGGCATGTCGAAGATGGACTAGTGTACACGGAGACTCCTCTTGTCACCGCACCATTTTGGGCCGGAGAGAAGAAAAAAAGTCAGCTGTCCAGTTTCAGTCCCACATGCCACCCTGAAGACATAAAACCCGAATACCCACACTGCTTTCCAGGTACGGGCAAGACCGCCGATCGCATCAGCATCCTTAATTTGGTTGAGCTGAAGGAAGGCCCTGCGCTTGTGGCAGCACTGATTCGACGCCATCGAAGGATCCGTTGCACATACATCATTGCATGACTTCTGCAGTTGCATGTCGTATCCCTTACTACTGCACCGTACATCCCTGCACCCTACTAAAAATGTTATTGCAGGACCAAGAACATTCGTCGAGAGGACCTCAACAAGCAGCTGAGTGCTCTCATGAAGCGATTTCGGGATGAGTCCCGGCATGACAATAATAACTATCATCATACTATAATAATAATAATAAATTGTTGTTTTAACCCCTAATCTCCTTGAATTTGTCTCCCGAACCCACTGAACCCCACAAAACCCTTAAGCCCTGTTTTCATCCCAATATGAAGAGTCAAAAAAAAACCCTCGCCACTCCTGTCATAACCTGCCATCAGGAGGCTACGCGAGACCTGCAGAACAGCCTGAAGCAGAAGCCCGACAAGCCGGAGATGAAACGAGGGAAAGACAAGAAGGAGAAGAAGGAGAAGCCTCAGGCTGAAGACGAGGCGCCAGCCTCGCCCAACCTGAAGCATGAGGACGATGATGCAGACGATTATGATGACGACGCGCCGCGGGATGATGACAGTGACAATGAGGACTCCTGCTCCGGCAAGAACAATCACTTCGGACAAGCAGAGTCCTCCGATGAGGACTTATGGACGGAGAAATTCACAAAGAAGAAGGAGGGCACGGAGCCAAACACGGATCAGCGCGACAAGGAGCTGAGTGAGAAAGCCTCCGTGGACCCCAACGTACTGAAGAGTATCCCGAAGAATGTTGCCCCGCTCCTTGGATGTTATTGCAGTTCTGTGCCGATGTCTGTCCCTGCCGTAGTAGATTCCCCCGAACACCAACAACATTGTGAACTCAGGTCCGATTTGCAGCTCTGGGTCCAGCTCCTGCTGCGAGAGCAAATGCTGAGCATGGACACGGTCATCGATTGCTGCAGCCTGGAAGGTTGGGTCTCATTACTTAGTATTGCTGGTAGCGTTTTCCTTTCACGGAAGATTCCAAAAATATTCAAGCATGACAGGTGAGCTTTTGGATCAGCTCGGGGAGAGCAAGGGCTTCTACGACAGGATGTCCATTGTCGGTAGACGGGCGTTCACTTCCTGGGCCCAGAAGATGGCTCGTGATTCTGTCCATCTGTCTTGTTTGGATTCAGTTTCTTAATGCTTATTCTGGCCTAGTATGTACCCTGAAAACTGGAATGTGACAGGCAAGCATGGAGAACCCCAACCTGCGACATGATGCCCAGCACTAGCCTCGAAGCGCAACCTGATTTTCTCGGAGGCGTAGTCTCCTGCCGGTTCATGTGAGGGACGGAATCTACCTAAGTTGCCCCCATATCTCATCTTAACACCTCTCTACTCCTTTTGTCGTACATGAAATACATAAATCTAGGCAGGGGAACCGGGGCATGACATAATAACTTAGATTGGTCCCTCGTTAGTCTGGAACCGCACTACGGCAGTGTCAGTCTGATTGGGAAACCTGGGGTTTCTGTGCGATTGCCGCAAAAGTGGGAAAGGTATACGTTCTGCTGGAATAGTGGTACCTGGCCAGGGGTCTATTATTAAATGCTCAAGTCTCGGGATTGTTGACTTCTCGCACATGCATTCACATGTCTGTCCGAATTGCGCATGGTCATTGGCGGCATCTGAACAGCCAACGTCATGGGAGATCGCCTCGGTTATCGGTTCAGGCTTCTTCTTGTCATGTTTTTCGTTGTCCTCAGTTCAGATCTAGGGGTCTTTTATGGTTTCTAATGAATACTCTGCTACTGGGCAAGACTTCTCGACCGGTACACGGCGTAGCTACTTTCTCGTTTCATCTGGCCGACTGCCGGCTTGGTACATGGGGAGTCTTGACCGCATGTGTTTTCCGTGTTATGGGTTCTCGTAGGGTAGGTTCTGGAATTCACGGGGTCAAGGGGTCCTCGTAGTCTTATTTAAAAGGGAAGCCCTAGGCCGGGTTATTTTTGGATGATTTCGGGGAGTTCGTGCGTGCTACCTGGCTGCCCGAACCCACTCTGCGTGCTACCTGAACCTGCACACTGAACCCTACGTGCTACCTCAAACACACCGTGCTACCTCAACCGCGACCGTGCTGCATGTGCCGCGCGGCCACCGCACTGTGCGCGCATGGGTGCGCTCAAAAATTCTGAGCGAGCATGCATCCGTAATAGCAGCGGACGAAAATGCATAAATGGTGCTCCGCCTTTAAACCAAGACTAGCCCGAGCGTGCTCCCTCAAATAACAACACATGCGTGCTCGCTCGATTTTTTCATGTCGCGTCATGCGCGCGTGTGCATGCTTGCCCTCGCGACCCGCCGCACAGTAGGCGAGTCAGCATGCACGTGTGCCCAGGAATGTCGGCCAGCAAGTGGCTTGGCGACAGGCTGAAGGAACTCGTGGAGCCACTCCGTTGCATGCAGATTTAGGTTTCCAGCGCACGTGTGCGAGTTGCGTGCTCCCTCGCAGGTAATGCGTGCTAGCTCAGCCACCAACGTGCTAGCTCGCTGCCTAGGTGTGCAAATGCTGCTGAAAAAGAGGATCTGAAGAGGAGATTTCAAGGCAAAGTGGAGTTCGTGGATAATGCCCTCAAGGATGGCCGTCCTATTGGGGAACTTGTTATAGGTGTCAAGGCCTGGGAAGACACTTGCCAGCATTGATTTCTGTTGTCACGACCCTTGAAGTCCTGTAGAAGACTAGACTAGCTTCAGGATGCTCTTCTGGAATATAGATCTCGGTGCCACGACCTGGGCCTCACAATCAGACCACGCGTCTTCGAAGAGCAAGCGGAGTTGGAGCTCCCAATCATGGACATGTCCAGTTCGCCATCTTCAGCTTCCTCGCCCGGGGAGAGTTCAAAGGTCACGGTTACTGATATTAAATACTTGAGAAGCCAGGGCGGCATCAAGGGTGTTTTGGAGATCCACAAGGCGGGCCCGGCAATGATTCTTGTATGGTTAGTCTATACTATTTCTTGGACAGGTTCGGGAAGAGGAACTTCAAGGCTATGCGCACTTGTGGAAAACTACAGAAATATGGAGCCTACTGAAACGACAACAGGCCTTTCACAACTGGTTCTCCAAGTTGAAGCTCGGCTCAAGCATGCATTCATCCGTTTGTTACTTAAGATGCTGTTCAGCCAAGGGGAGACCAATGCGGGTTTGCCTTAGCGCAAGCTTACCGATTGGAGCTTTCCGTACATTTTGTTCGAAAGCAAGAATATCGTGGCCGGAGCTCTGCTGTGGCATCTGATCGCTTACGGCTGAATTTCGATGCTGTGACCACTCCTGGAGTGCTGTTCATGGATTCTCGTCCAAGACCTATGTACTAGAGGAACCAACCCCTTAAATCATCCCCCCAACCCCTGCGCATCAACAAATAGCATAACGAAGCCTTGACTGTAATGCTTTCCCAGGTTGCGTCTGGCCTACAAGTACGTGGATGCAAGCCAGAACTGCAGACGGCCTCACTAGAAGCTCTGGACGTTGTGTGCTCCAGTGCACTTCCCGCGGACCTGGAATTGGATCTCTTGCCCGGAGTGGAAGCTTGCTACCCGGAAGCGTTACAGTGAAGACTTGTGTGCTCATGGCGGAACACAATCAATTGCATGCAAGGACGTACTAGCTTGTGCTGTGATCATGTCTACTGATTATGTTTCGCTCCTTACCTAAGGCCTCCTACGGATTCGTGATCACTGTGTGCAATTGGATAGCCTCGAGAACTTCCTGGACTTCACGTCCATGAAGCAGAGGCCGGAGCTGCAAGATCCGGCCATCATGTTGCACTTTGCCCGGCCTCAGGTGGCGACAGCACAAGGCACTAAGCTTGGCTCACCAAAAGCTACAAACAGGACAGATACATTAGTCTACTCATTCCTGTCTGACGTCACGTATGTCCCAAACACAGGACCTAGACTGTCAACCCTGGCTTGGTTCCTGTTCCGCATCCCTCATGACGAAGTCTTCCAGGACACGTTACATGGCAGCAATTGAGAAGCCGTCTGCAACGTAGATCATGCAAAGTACAAGGAGGACGTCAAATATGCTCGTCTGCAGCGACGATTCATACATCGAGTAGGTCAGCTGGCCGAACAACACTTGGAGTCGGCACTAATCACTTCGGTGCCTACGGCTTCTTGCGAACATGAGTTGCACCCCGCTCTCACGACTCTAGCCAGCATACATCAGGTTTGTAATCCTTACATGACGATGAGACTAAAAAAATCCCAGGAACGGCCACCGTCTGCGTGGAGAGCGCAAGCTAGCCAATCAGCTCTGCATTGAAAGATTCCTGAGCCGGGGCGGAGGATTCATTTCGATGAATGCTGATTCCACGTTGGAAAGCTTGGAGTTGGATGGCATCATGCCGGCTCACTACTCCAGGACCGATTGAGCTTTCTGTGCTAGTTGTTCATACACGGCTCGTGTTTGCATGGCAGGACCACATCCGACTTTGTCTTTCGACACCTTTCAGCTACAGCTAGACGCGTGCAAAAGGTGGGGGTCAGGGCGTGCATTCCTCTCCGTGTCTCATGATTCCGCAAACCGATTCACGATGCCAGGAGCTGGCAAGCCAAACCCGTAAAAGCGTCACATTGTTATGCGATGCAAGCCCTAAAGGAACAATGAATGCAGCTCAGCTCAAAGTAGTGCAACATGTGGATCACCGTCCCCCGTTCATAAATAAGGTTTGGCTTCCCGTGGTGGCTGTGAATGATTTCGCAGCTGTGCTGAGCCTACAAAGATTTACCGATCTGCATGCCAGCACCGTGGATGACTCACTGAAAATGTCGATGGCACACCGTGTGGCCGATGAAGCCACCGCAGCACTGATTGCTGATCCTCGCAAAGGTGAACATCGAGCGAAGCTGATACTTGCCTGCTACAAGCGAACCTTCATTCCTTGGTGTAGGCCATATATTACAACACGTATTTAGAGCTCTAAGGCCACGCAGGTTGGGTGAAATTCAACAAAAACGCTTGGCCTCCAGGGAGAATCTCAAGGCTGTTTCTAATGTGCTACAGCACGTGGCCTTGGACCTGGATTCTATCTTTCCTTCGGATGTGCTACAACCAATTCGTCCCAGCTGCGAAGAACGGCACATTCATCGCGTGGGCCAGGAGCGACTCGCCTACGTCAAAAACAAGGAGAGTGGTGAGTGCAGGTGGGATCATCCTCGACCGGACCCCAATTTGCTTCGACTGGTTCTTGCCCCCGATGAGGGTGGGCCATTGTTCTGTGGGTATCAATTCCTCTCGTCCAGGGGCGGGGCTGTTATTCTGAATCGGGACGAGTCGTGCCCTGCTTGCAATCAATTGATTCCTCGTTGGATGTTGGGTATGCTGTTATTTGCGAAGGCACAAGTTGCACAACCATCACCAGCGGCTCCTGCACTCGTCCGCCCTGATGCACCGCCACTTCTATGCAGATCCAGCATGTGCTTAAGACAGTTTGACCATGTAAGCATGTCCCGAGGATGCTAGTTGTCCGTATCCCAATCCCAGGCATGACTACTCTGACATCCTGGCTATACCGATCCAAACGCAGTCCATGGAACACGGGTGCCGTGGGAAGCTCTCTTCGGGAGGCCGGAATGAGATACCTTCAAATTGCCTCTCGGCCCTAGTTGCTTGCATCTTTTCTTTCTGACTCTCCTCCTTCGCAAACCCAAAGAAAGAGGCTGAACCGGATGATCTTCTACAGCAACTGTTCGGGAAGGATATTATGATGGAGTGGCCTGTTGGCACCATTACTACGTTGTCTTTTCCCATTTGCTTCTACGTACATCCCACTACACCCGTAAAGAACCCTAAGAACCCTCTGCCAGGAATGGAAAAATCCCGAGCTCGAACGAGAAAGCCAATTTTGAGATGACTATGGACATCATCGGGAAGGTTTGCAAGCGTGGCCCTTGCCCGTAGTCGTAAGTATTGTATAAACAGAACCCCTGAAGTACCCAACATTGATCTGCATCTAAGTTTCCAGCGGGAGCCATTCGAGTACAAAAGATGGTGCTCCTGGAGTCTCACAAGCTCTGGCTTCCAGTTCACGGCTACGCTGCTTTTGATTTTCTGGGCAGGAGTTGAGGCCATAAGAGTTGGCTCGCATCACATGGGTGTAGGCATGACTGATCCAAACGTGACATAGCTTCTGTTACCATGCAGGCTGGCATCAATCCGTATGCTGCTCTCGACAAACATGAACGAAATGAATCGAATTCCGCCCCTACGAAAGTGGTCGACCTCTGCATTCGAGCAACTTGGCACCCACAACCGATCTTCATACCCTGTGACGCCGAAGAGTGAACTGAGGCCCTGCTGGATGAGTCTGTATATGCCCTGTGGAAATCTACCAGAATTCTTGTGGAGCCCTTCCGGGAACTATCAGTCCAGATTGCCGCAAATTTGCAACGTAGCCAGTTTAGCGGGACGTGTCGTATGCAACCAATGACTTAGGCCAAAGACTCGAAAGAACTCTACGGACTGCACAAGCTGATTGTGCAAATGAATGGGCCCTACCTCCCGCGTTGCCTGGACGAGCTGCGCCGCACCGGCTTGGCAAGCCAGACTCTTCTCCATGAACCAGATATCGCTGGCTTGACTGCTTTGGATGCCACTCAGTGGAAATGTTAGCTGCCTGTGCTTCATACAATCTGTGCATGTTTATTGCCACAACTGGAACATGAAATGAATCCCTGGAATCCAAAAGCCTTTTGGCCTCATAGCCTGGACATCTGCGCATCCTGCAATGACCACCAACGATCGTGAGGCTTTTGCAACTAGTCCTACCCGCAGACTGAGCAAAAGGCTCCGTGTTCTGAACAATTTCGAGGAAAGTGCTGACTACCTGAACATGGTTTTCCTACGCAGTTCTCGGGACAACTACTCTGTGCCACCCGGATCGAACCCAACAACGCCTGACTGCAGCCCTACTACCTCAAAGCGCCGATGGGAAAGCAGCTTCGGGGAATTCAAACGTACTTGCAGGGTATGGTCGGACTACCTTGTGAAGGGTCATGCGAAACCACTCTCAGGAGATGATGCTGGCCAGTCGAAGGCGCAAGAGTCACAGGACTGATGTACGGGTCTACTCGAATGAACTGCGCTGTCCGCTTTTACCGTAGCTGTGGGTATAGAATGCCAACCTGTGTTCCTGAACACAAATGCGCGACCAACGGCTGCAATAAGACAAAA